AATTAGAGTGCCATGCTCCATGATATCGCGACACCATCTCCTCCCTGCTAAAACAAAGTCTCGATAATACAGCTAATCGATGTATAAAAGACGTTTACACAAGCGTAACACAAATTGTCATCTCAAAATCAGGTCATCACGCACCGATGAATCGTGAAACATACGAAACTTGACGAGAGCTGTGAAAACATGATGGTGAAACTCGAGCTGATATGTTGTATGATTAGTATGTTGCAGATCTTCATATTTATAGTGTCACAGCCGCGCTGAGCTCGATATGAATATATAAATAGAGATTGGAAACAGGCTTAGAATGTGCAATTTTCCCTCAAGTGTGCAACGTTCATGCAGCCTCTAACGAGAGTGTAACAAGCTCTGAACTTTCATCAACGGGATGAGTTTTTGTGTGCGAGATAATTCTGAAATAAACCGTCAAAATTTGCAAACAAATTCGATCGATTTAGACTAGATTCTTCCTTTCCACAACTCCCTCTCATTCTCGGCATTGAGTATCTTCGTAACTGCATCAGCACGGAAAGAAATCACGTGAGAGAAATCTATTACTAACTTCTACACTTCTGAAATTTGACTGACGGGAAGCTCTTCGCTTCCAATTCGACAAGAAAGAATCGATCAAAGAAAACTGCAAAGTCCGACGATTTACTTCAACATCACTTCGTATGTATGAACGAACGAAGACGAAGGGAGGTTTGGGCGGTTCTTTCCACGTCAAAGCTCCCTTATCTACTATTACACTGAAACGACCGAAGTGGCTAACATTTAATGAAAAAAGCTAACGTCGAACCATTGTTTCTTTTTTGGTGAGCTTACGGTATTCTTCATAAACATCCGCGGATCTCAGTAGAGCAAGTTATACCCAGTCGTTTAGCGGACTTAGTCGTTCTATATCGTGTAGCAACTCACTTGGACTTGGGCTGCATTTCTCCTGCAGCGGCAAGAAGCGCATCTCTACGGTGCAACCGCATGCTGACCCTTCGTTCTTGGCCACCCGCACCCGATGCTGAAAGAGAGCACCAGAAAAACATAATGCATGAAAAACTGCAAAAGAAATCGCCAACATTCCTATGCTCGTGTCGTCAACTCGCCGCCATCCTGGCCACTATGCACAGTATAGGATTTGCTTTTTGTCGATATATATATATATATGTATGTATGTATATATGCGTGTATATGTGTATGTATATACGTGTGTATATGTATTTAAAAAAAAAATTCTCTATATCGCATTTTTTTATATCTCTCTCTATTTCTTTCGATACAGCAAGTTCAAAAGTTCGTACACAAATTCAAAAGCAGTCATCAGGGGATAGCAAATATTCGTCTAAAACAGTCCTTCAAAGGGAAAAAAAAAACGAGAAAAAATATTCAAAAACGTCTCTCTTAAAGTCGCCGGCAACATTTTGGTCAGTACATTCAATCGTGCAAGTAGCTCGCCGAAGAAAACAAGAGATAGGAGAAAACAGTCGTAGACAGAGAAGAGCACTCGTTGCATTGCAAAGCACACGTTTTCAATGATCACAGTATGTATTGTATGTTATACCCACCATGCGTCAACCTGCGAGCTGTTCTCTAAGGCTACTTTCCACGTAATTTTATGCCCAAAAAGCGTAATAACGACGGGACATTGTGCGCACTTTAGCCTGAAGAGGAATCGTCGCTTCACGGAATTATTCGCGGGCTGGCGTATCTAACGCTCGTTATCGTCAATTTTTCCGTGTTTACGTATGTACAAATAGGACTTACGCGCGCACTTCGATAATGATATTAATTTCGCTCGTAATAATGATAATGGCATGACTCTCGGGGGATTAAACTTGGCATAGCAGGAAGAAAAAAAATATTGTTTCGCATAAATCGCTAAGCAAGAGCATTGTCGACTTCGTACCGAGCCTGAACGATCGAAGAAGGAAAATTATAACGTACAGAGCATACCGAGATCATGATATCTCGAAATAACTTTTTTATTCATTACCGCGTAAACTTCGCACAATGACTCAAAATAACTAAGTAGCAAACCGCTATTCGGGATGTCTTGAGTTATCCTGCTAGAGAAGAAATACATTATTTTACGATCTCACGAAATTGCGACAATGACAAACGAGGCAGTGTATCTGAAGGATCGAATCGTATACAGGAATACTCGTCAGGTTGATGCGTTAGTTAGTGTCAAAGTTCAATAATGTCATTCAGCTAAGAATGGCTCTCTCGACATCAACCAGGCGACGCGGGAACGACGGGTAATCATCTTTCACTCTTGGCAATTGAAATGGAAAAATTAATACAGTCGAAATGTAACAAAAAAAAAATAGTAACCGAACGAATGCGAATATATTAATGTTTAGAAAAGAAAAATCAAACAAGAAAATGTGGTACGCTTCCGTGTGAAGACAGATGATGCGACAAAGAAACCAAAAAGAAAAAAAGAAAAGCAAAATTCAGAGCCACGGGTGCTCCGGAAAGATGGGCGGAATTTACAGGGAGCTTTTCTCCCCCCGGCGTCTCTTTCTCTATCATCGACATATTTTGAGATAGTCCTCGAGGTCTCTAGACTAGTCGCTATTCGCCGCAATGGGTTTTTCCATTCAAGCCAAGTGAGAAATAATTTTGACAAGGATAATCGACAATGTCATGTGGTGAGATAAATAAAAAGAGACCAGTCCTTGAATGGAAAAACATTTATTTGCTACTTTCTCTTCATTATCATCATCACCATCATCATCACCACCATCATCATCATCATTACCATCACTATCAATAAAAAACAGGCTGATTACAGATAGATACACGATATGAAGACTTCGTAGACGAGAGGAGAAACGGGGAGAACGGACACTAAAAGACGATGTCGAGTGATCTAGTGCGTAGGAAGAAGTTGGCAGTGTCGTTGCGAGACGTTAACGGCAAATCTCGTTCGATTGTTTTGCCTAATATGAGAAGCAAAATATCCCTTTGCGCGATTACGAATATAATTATAGCAAACTAAACTTTATCCTCTCTATCTAAGCTTTGGTAACCTTTCCACGTCTCTAGACGCTCCCTCACATCACGTATAACGGTGGCATTCGATTAAACAAAAAAAAAAGGCGTCAGGCTATTTGAATTGTTTGCGAAAGGCGCGCGCGATTCGTCCGTTGTAGTGTATTCACTTCTTCCATTTCACCAGAACGTGCGTCATTAAACGTGTGTAGAGGGGGGGGGGGTTAATACGTACGCTTAATTAATGGCAGTAAGCACGGAGTTGAAGCCTTACAATCGTTTACGGGATACAATTGATTAAATGATGAAAGTGTCAATGAATAAATAAAGGAGCACAAATTCCTTCATTAATGCTAATTAAAATTATCGCGCCGGAGTAACGTGAGAATTCTGTTAAGGATGTCCGTACGCCGGCCGTCCTTCGTGCAGGCATCCCATCGAACTGCGAGAAAGATTTTATATTTAATTTATATTTAACAGCGCATACTCCGAGTCGGACAGTTAATGAGGAGAGCGACAAACCGCAGAGATTCAGTTTTCTATTTTTTTTTCTCCTCTTTTGGATTGCAGCGAGAGAGAATCGTTCGCCGCGTTTTAGCGGGCACTATTAAAGTCATATTCAGACATGGTGTGTACTCGTAAAACTAATTAAGTAGTATGAGAGAGTGATTAACAGTCTTCAGATTATCAACGTAAAAACATTGCTTCACTGCTCGTATAATGAGGCTATTCATAATATACATAGTGTGGAACCACTGAAAAAGCAGCCGCGTGTGTACCGTTAATTTCGCTAAGAAATAACTTTAGCAACATGTTAGACGAGTGCTAAACAAGTTTAGCAATCGTCCCATATGTCGCGTTATCATTATCATCATAAATCGTACTCTGTCTTATAAGTATGTAAAACGAAGAGAGGAGTGTGCCGTAAACTAATCAAAGCTCGAGAGAGGAACTGTATAAAGTGTTAATGAATTTTGCCACTTGACTGTATAGACACGTAGACACTATGATGAGTATTATGCTATCATATGATTTTCAGCTGCACAAGAAAGCAATCAGCGATGTATGTGATTCGCGAAACGTATGCGTATGAATTTATTATTGACACCTTGATGTATTGGAAAAAATATCATTTTGTGTAAGCACACACACGGAGAAAGGCAAATACCGCGCGATGTTCATTTTCCTGCTTTTATGCGAGATGGCGGTGTTGTAATATCAATTGTTTTCAGTCTTACTTAGACGATATATAATTCCGGAAAAAAATCCTATTTAACTTTTTACGCAATGTGTATAATACAAAAAATATTTGAAGAAGGGGCCAGAAAATTATATGTATAAATGTATATAATATGTATAATAATATGTGTCTGTGATTGTGTAGTACAAATATATGCTCGTTTGCGGAACGGCTTGAACACATTTTTTCCAATGAAGACAGAAACACGTCAAGTGGCCATGAATATGAGCCACTCGTTACTCATGAATCTAGCGATACGTTTAGTAGTCCATTATAACAGAAGCCAAAGTGATAACACATGAAACATACGATGTTACAACGAAGAAAGACTTAGGAAAGGAGGATTTAGGAAAAAAACGAAAGTATATTTATTATATTCTATATCTATCAGATCTATCATGTATCTATCAGATAAGAGTATAATAAAAGACCAATATATTTACACTGTATGAATACTCTGACTTCGCCTTCTGTCATAATCGGTTACCATGCAAGTTCGTGAATATTGGCTTGTGACTATACTGTGTGTGAGAGAAAGAATATCTAAGAAATAAAAAATACTTATTCTTTGGCTATTAATAACGTATTTACTTACACACATGTTAATATAATATAATTATATATATTACTTATATATTAATATAATATAATTATATATATATATATATATATATATATATATTACTATATAAGAAAACGTATTATTTCATATTAATACAAAATATTTCTTTCATAAAATATACATTTTCTTAAAATCTTCACTTTTCATGAAAGCAATTGTTTTTATTCTATTTAAATAAAATAATTTAGATTTAAGTAAATATATTATCAATATCCACGAATGAAAATATCTTTTGCTTTTTAGATTTTTTTTAGTATATTTGATATGCTTCTAATTGGATCGGAAAAACTGTGTTCAGGTCGTTTCACAGACGAGTGTATATTCCGAAGAAAGATCGTCCATAATTTTTGGGATGAGTTTGTGAACTCCGTTTTGTCCAATGATAAGATTTCTCTCATTGTGGATAAGACCGATGAGTTCACAAACTTATTAAACTTAAAAATGATGGACGATCTTTCTCTCTCTCCACAAGTGTATATTCAGAAATTTTTAAATGTGTCTTCTATATTACTTACTCATTTCAGACAAAAGAATACTTGAGATTTTCTCGCGAATAAAAGAGAAAAAAGTATAAAACAAAGATAAAAAAAATTTTTCATAAATGACACGAAACGAATATATAAAAGTGACCCTGATTAAAATAGTCTACGGTACTGCAACCAAGTTCTGAGATGCTTTTACGATAAACGTTATCAGTCTATTAGCTTTCGGTCAGTCTAACAGTAATATCAAAAAGTTATTCACAGAAAGGAATAAGTTACGAGAAACCGTTTACATTAAGGCCATACGTTGCCACATATTGCCGTTAAGTCGTACTGTGCGCGCGATTCTTCTCACTACCTATTCTCCCAGAACCGAATAAATTTCGTCAAACTCGAACGTATTCAGTGAAAACTCGTAACGTATTCACTCAGTCAAATATATAAAAAAGAACACATTAAATATTAATATTAAAAATAAAAATAAAAAAAAAGACTCGTTGTATACAACCTGAAGATTTTATGAGGAATTTTGAATTCCTATCCATTCTTTTCTTCTTATTTTTTTATCTTTTTCACGATTACGCTCGTCATTACAGTTGCGCTTTGCAGTTCTTCAATAAACGTATTTATGTACACACGTGATCGCGGTAATATAGTATATGTTAATTACTGTAATTTGGTATGTGGACACTTATATAAATCTCTATTGTAGTTAGAACCTAAACAATAGTGGCTAAGCAAAATCAACTTCCTCGACTCCGTTTGTGCCTGAACTATGTGTATGTGTATTTGTGGTTTGTCTATCTGTGTATTATGTGTTTGTGTGTGTGTGTGTGTGTGAGCGCGTATTTGTGCGTGTGGCAAGAGTTCGACATTAAAATCTCGCGACGCGCTTTTCGAAAAAATCAAGCGCAATCGATCTTGAGGCCGCAGTGTATAAGATTATTGAGTCTAATATATGTTTATACGTACATCGTATATATGCGTCGTAGAAAAAATGGTATTGGTTCAAGATATTTGTCATGTCGGTCGGTACAATCCGATCGAATTGGTTTCGCTCTTATTTGCGGTTTTAAGGCAATCTTCCGTTCATTCATTCACAAATGGCCAAGATTTCAATGTAATTCGTAATATTCGTGCGAATAATTCGACAATATAAAAAGTACAAATGTAGTCGTTATAAACGTTATTATTTTATCATTATTATTATATAGTACCATACGAAAATATATACGCACGAAATGTCAGATTACGTTCGAAATACCCAGTATAAAAATCGCGTTTTGTCTTCTCTATCTTCGTTAAAAATATTCTTCCTCTGAGCTATACTTGACCATCGAAATCTTGGTGTAGTTTTCGCACGATAGTATATATATATATATATATATATATATATATATATATATATATATATATATTTATATATATGTATATGTGTGTATATAAATAATAGAGATCGCTCAGTACGTGATGCAAGAGGATTCCTTTTTTTTCTTTTTTATCGTATAAAGATCCCACCTCCGTTTAAATGCAAATGCAGACGAAGATGTCGAGTAAGATACCCTTGAGAATGTCTAAGTTACCCTGCGGCTTGCCGTGCGCCAGGGAATCGCTGGAATTCGTGCCGTGGCTCAGAGCGTCCAGATCGTCTCTGGTAATCAATTCTATGTAGCGTTCCCGTTTCGCGTCCACATCGGCGATCTCCAATGACTGCAAGCCGCCGTCTGTGCAACCGACGTGCTGCAGGTTCTGTAAGTACAGTCTGCCGAGTTGACTGATGGAGTAACCGATCTCTAGGCTGTCCTTGTTGCCGCTCACAGTCTCCTGCGTGGCGACGCTCGCCACAGGCTCTAAGAGTCTCGATTGCACTAGCAGTTCGTTGTTGTTGGCGGGGTCGTCGGCGGATCGTACCGACGGTACGCTCGCCACCGAACGGCCCGCTGTGTATTTCTCCGGAATAGTGCTGTTTTTCAAAAGATCATCCAAGTCTCTCATCACACGAAACGTACTCTCCTCCTGAAGTTGCTTCAGGCCCGTGGGACAGCACATGATGAGGTCGCCGTCGACGTGATCCACACCGTCGTCGCGTTTATCGGAAGAACCGAGATTGGACTGAGCGGGAGCACGACTGACCAGCGAGTTTGGTGTTCGCTCAAAAAAATCGACGACGTCCTTCTGGTGCCTCTGCAGGAAGTATTCGCACTTCTGGTCGGACTGCGGATATTGGCTGTCGACTCGCGACTCCTCCGGCTTCAGGAGATCCTGGCACTTCTCGCGCTCCCTGGGTAAAAAATGCAGGCTTCTGCCGACTCTCTGGAAGAAGCTGGGCCGCTTGCGCGTCTTGTTCGCGGCCGAATCGACGGACTTCTTTGTCGACTTTTGCGACGAATCTAGACTCCTTTGCTTGATGTGGAAAAACGTTTTTGGCCGGTCCTCAGGCAAAAGATCTAGGCTCTTACAATCCATCGCAGGCACGTCGATGCTTCTCTCTAGCGACTCCAGGCTACGGTGAGTCTTTTCCTTGTTGCGAAATGAGAAGTTTCTGCGTTTGCTAGTGGAAGCCTCCTGCAACAGCTCGCTGCTGCTCTTCTTGAAGATCTCACCCTCCTTCTCGAGGAACTCCACGTTGCCGGAGTCGCGACGCATCTCGTGAGTCATGGTGAGACGTCGCATACCTGAGGTCGCAGGATATCTGAGCTTCTTGTCGGCGTAGTCGGTGTAACCCCGCTCTCTGTCCGCCGGGCCACCAAAGCAATTCATCGAGCCGCCGGAGGCAGCAGCGGCGGCGGCGGCGGCGGCGGCGGCGGCGGCGGCGGCGGCGGCGGCGGCGGCGGCGGCGGCGGCGGCGGCGGCGGCGGCGGCGGCGGCGGCGGCGGCGGCGGCGGCGGCGGCGGCGGCGGCGGCGGCGGCGGCGGCGGCGGCGGCGGCGGCGGCGGCGGCGGCGGCGGCGGCGGCGGCGGCGGCGGCGGCGGCGGCGGCGGCGGCGGCGGCGGCGGCGGCGGCGGCGGCGGCGGCGGCGGCGGCGGTTTCGTCCGCGTCGTTCGCCCCACCTCGTCGATTTTCCAGCACACAATCGTCCGTACCCAGATCCTCGAACATCACGACCTCGCGATCTACATCTTTCTCAGTTTTATGCCCATGAAAAAAATAACTCTGCTTGTCGAGCTGACGCGACGCCGCGTTAGGGCTTCTCTCGCGCGCCCTACTCATCGGCTGGTAATAGTCGCGCGACGTCGCGGGATTTAGCTCGGTGCGTTTCGGCCCTAACTCGCGATGCCCTAAACTGAGACCGGCCAGGTCTAGAGAGCCTGTGGCGTCCGGCGCCACCGTTCTACCCGGCGATGACTTGAATGTACTGAATTGACATGGATTCGCGCGTGTAGCGGCCTCGTTGCCAGCGGGCTGCGAGTGTCCGACCACAAGTTTCGCTTTTCGCTCGGCAACAGCTTTCTGTTGGCTTGCGCAGAATTGTTGGTAGAATTGTATTTTACCTTGAAGATCACTCTTGTCCTGATTGTCCTGGTCGCCACGAGTCTCCATCTCGCGCTTTTGCCGGATGGCTCTCAGACTCGCGTTCGGTCCAAGCGTCGGCCCCACTGTCGCTACGGACGCGTTTGGCAAACACTGTCGCGTATAGGGCCTGGAAACAAACATTCACAGAGGAAAACGTAAATTTCATCGATAACGATTCAGTTACAATAGCAAACACTGCATTTATTATAATAATTAGACCTGTAAAATATGCTTCGAATGAAGACAGATGTGTCACTAGATTTATCGAGACTTTTAAGTACAGAATAACTAAATAAATCATTGAAAGTAAACAGGAAACGTGTTAAGTATATTGCTTATTACTCGTGTTTCTCAAAGCGGGCAGTTTCCCCGATTCATTGCCCCAGAGGCCGAAAATAGAGCACGCTTGAGAGCAATGAAATGACCATGCTATTTATAAACATGAAAAGACAGTATGGTGTGAAGATGCAATCACTAACAGGCCGTAGGTTTAAAGGCAGAGAATTTTTTCCACGAAAGCGGAGATACGCTTGAACAGAATCACCGACCTTGATCGATGTTCCTGATCGTTGTTGGTCCCAGAGGGCAGCGCCGCGTTAGACGGCTGCGAGTGCATAGGTGCTTGTTGCGCGGAGGGTAGCGTCGGCTGTCTCGCGTTCCCAAACTTCAGCATATTCCAATCGAAGACATAGTCGTAGGTAAAGCCCTGACCGTGGAACAGCGTCCGGAAGAGCTGTCGGAGGTGTGAGTAATCTGGCCTTTCCTCGAAACGCAAGTCTCGACAATACCTTAGATACGACGCAAACTCTACTACAATAATTAATAAAATATTCATTTTTATCATAAAGTCGAGATACAATGACTTTACGAGATGCTCCATACACACGCGTACGTACGATGTGCACACGCTGTGAAAAGACTTACAGGGGTAACCTTTGCAAAGTTCTTCTATGGGAGTGGACATTTTCTTCTCGGAAATGCGCTCGTACTTTTGTCTCTTGGTTGCCGCTTTCAACCCTTGCCAAGGCAGACTACCCCTATTGAAGTACATAAGCACATAACCCAAAGATTCGAGATCGTCTCGTCGCGACTGCTCAATCCCCAAGTGTGTATTTATACTCGCGTATCTGTCGGAACGATGAACAAATTAGTAGAGGAACGTACGTAGTCATTCATATTAATACGTGAATATTGATAAACAACTGACCTAGCCGTTCCCGTCAGGTTCTTGTTTTCTCGATACGGTATATGCTTGTGTGTGCGCCCATCGCGATACTTTTTAGCCAATCCGAAGTCTATAATGTAGACAAGGTTCCCCTTCTTTCCCAGACCCATCAGAAAGTTGTCCGGCTTAATATCACGATGAATAAAGTTGCGACTATGAATGTAATCTGTTCTACTTATCTGCGGAATAGAGAAATTAAAACACACTCTTATTATAACTGTACACTGTGCGTTTCATGTAATGTACGCATGCTTCGAGCTTCAGAGATCGCGCACAAAGATAAATAAACTGCTTATCCAACGCTTCGTTTGCGTATGTTGTTGTACACTATTTGCCGACACATCTCATTTGTTTTTCAACACGATTACTCTGACGAAATCGACGAGTGCATTCATATACGAAATTCTTAAATAAAACTAAATAACATTTCTATTTACGTTTCAACTAGTTCTTACACTAGTATTTAATAAAGAAAAGTGAAAAGTATTATTTAGAATACAATTCAATGACTGTTTGATACCAATCAATATTTTTGTTCAGTAAACAGATGTTAAGAATATGAATGATTCATGGTAAGAATGTAAAGCACATCGACATGTTTTTCCGCAAAATGAAGTAATAAATGCATATAATCGCAACATGAACTTTGAACACACATCAAGGCGTTTGTGCTTCGGCAAATACTCTGCACAAATACAATGAGGCGACTGCATATGAGAATAATAAGTTGAAAGTTATCTGTTTAGCCTTTTATCTCAGAGCGCAGCCGTGGATACAACATAAATAGAATGCCTTGCATTGTATAATGCAACAGCAAAAACAGTTACTCTACCAAAATATGATGTACAAATTTTTTCACTTTTATTGAGGTACACTCAAAATTATTCATATACAGAATATAATGATGATTGAAAAAAGAAAGATTTATAAAAACAAAAGATATAGACCCGTTGTCAACATGTTATTCTGACATTAACATTTTTTACTTTAACCGATGAAACTGCCATTGATTTATCATTCGTACTCGTACATGCAATCTAACAAATGAAACATGCTCTTGTAATAAGGAAATGTTTATTTACCAATTGATCGGCAAGGAGCAGGACTGTTTTTAGAGAGAAACGTCTCGAACAGAAATTAAATAAGTCCTCCAGTGATGGCCCGAGTAATTCCATCACCATCACATTATAGTCACCTTCCGATCCGCACCATTTTATAGTTGGTATTCCAACTAGAATATGAAGAATTACATTGTTATGAATAATGATAATAACAGAAAATATAGAAGGAAATATAAAAAATATAAAAAATCTATACTAAAGAGCTATTATATAGTATATTAAGTACTATAACTGTTTACAAAAAAAGTAACAATATCAAAATATTATATTATAAAAAGATTAAGAAAACTGTTTTGCTGGTAAAAAGTGATGAAATAATCACAGCGATGTTACTTAAAATTTAATTACAACTTACATACTTTTCATCAGCAACAATGAATTCAAAGTATTCCTTTGTTATCTTTTACCAGGTAGTTAGAGTTACATGTAATTTTACCGCCTATAGTAACAATATTCTTGTTACAATTAAATTTCTCATTAAACTGTCAAATTTTATCACTATAAGAATTATAGGACACTGTAATTGGCAGGTGTTAGAAATCTACAGTTGTATTACAAGTAAGGATATTGAATCAGCTGGCTGACAAATCGTCAGAATATATCTCTAATAGCTCTTGATACGAAATGAATACTCTGCTGATACACACAAATATTGATCTACTCACCGCCTCCTTGCATTATCTTGTAAAATTTTGACTCTATATGCAGCTGTGGATGCCGTGTTTTTATGCATTCTAACTTGATAGCGACCTCCTCACCCGTGGAAATATTGGTGCCTACGAATAAAGAAAAGTCCTGAGAAACCTATTTACACACGTGCACATATATGCAAATACACACACACACACACACACGCACACGCACACACGCGCGTACGCACGCGTATACACGTACCAACACGCACATACCGGACACGAGACACAAAATAGAAGGTGAAAGACAAAGAAAAAGGGCAAGTGGAAGAGCAAGAGAACACGGTGAAAAGAGAGGTAGGCGGGAATAACGTGTGCGCACGTAGGAGTTGACGCGCGCGTTTCCACGCTTTCATGCGTTGAATACGCGAAATCCGCTGCAAGGAACAGAGAAAGAAGGGAGGGGTGGCGGTGGGAGGGGGGAAAGGGAGAGAACGGCATCGTCGAGTGGCAAGCTACTACTGGAACTCGCGGCGGTTACCTAGGTAAATGTCGCCGAAGGAGCCGCTCCCGATTTTCCGTCCGAGCCGGTACTTGTTACCAACGCGTAACTCCATTGTACTGGCCGCGCGGCGCCTCACAATACAAATATCACGGCTGCGATCGCGGAGACAGCGGCGGCGAGGCGACTACACACACACACGCCAAACCAACGGCGGAGGCAGCGACAGCAACAGAGGCAGCAGCAACAGCAGCGGAGCAGCAGCTGACCCGAGCGCGAGCGTGGAGATGGCCCGTTGCGATGCTCGCGCGACGACGGGTGCGTGCTGGGCTCGCTCGCGTTGTTACAGACTCGACGGTGGTACCTCCATACTCGTCGTGCGGGAACTCGGTCTGATCGATCTCGTACCTACGGGCATTTCTTCCTGCCTAGTCGCGGTGAACGGCGAAGTACACCTCGTTACGATGGCGGTCGCGCTGATGGCGGCGGCGCTGCGCTCGCGGTTGTCGCTTTCGCCGTTGTTGTTGACGGCGCTGCTGGGAGGCAAGAACGGCGGCAGGGATGATGATATCGAGAGGCTTGCCCCCCACGGGGGGCGGTCGACCGGTCGTGGTGAAATTCGGTGAACGTACCCGCGCGCGAGAACCTTGTCGACGACGAGCGACGGTGGTGGGGAGGCCGGATCTTGCGGTAAACGTCGATCCGGTTGCACGAGCGCGCACCGACCAATGGGAGAGCACGTCGCGGAGGGGCATCTGCCCGCGGCGGCCGAGCGGACCGGTGACGGCGAACCACGGCGGAGGATACACCAATCGCGACCAAGTTTTCGCGCCGTTACGTGATGCACGTTTTTCCCAGTGAAGGCGAACGCTCTGCAGCCGAATGTGTGGAAACAGTCCTCGTCACGTTGCGACCAGCCTTGTTGCGTGTATGTCGCCGTAGAGCGCGCTCGCTGCGCCGACGCCAGCGCGCTCTGCGACCACGATGCTTACTGGAGCGGATAGCTGCGTTCCGGTCGCAAGCGCGCTAATTTTCAATCCAAAAAACTACTATGATATTAAAGATTTATATATCGGTATTGCGCACAAGTTTCGAATTATTAACTGTTTGTATAAAGTTCATAATTTAGGACAATACTCGAGATATATACAGAGTATCTAACAATTCATGACATCCATTATGTACAAGTAGAACTCATCAAACTGGACACAAAATTCCTTTATTATTTCGCAAACAACCACGTCAAATTTTATATTATTATTGATTAAAGATTAATGAAGGATAGAGTGATCACGTGCGATAAATGACTGGTGATAACGAATTAATTAGATTATTAATTTTCACAATTATTACAGCGCTAATTTTCAATCAAATTTTTACGATCTGCCATCACGTGCGAGTCTTGTTTTCAGGTACAATGTTATGCATTACTACATGTTTAATATACAATTTACGTTACTAGAGTAATATACAAATATAACTTACAGATTACATCAGGTTAGCGCCAAATATTTATTTTTTTTTTTAATTCTTGTAGGACAAGTTGGTGTATTACAAAGAAAAAGGAAGTCGTTAAACGTCTGAAACAATATCGAATCGATGTTGATCATATTCGATTTTTTATTTGTGAAAATTAATAATCTAATTAATTCGTTATCACCAGTCATTTATCGCACGTGATCACTCTATCCTTCATTAATCTTTAATCAATAATAATATAAAATTTGACGTGGTTGTTTGCGAAATAATAAAGGAATTTTGTGTCCAGTTTGATGAGTTCTACTTGTACATAATGGATGTCATGAATTGTTAGATACTCTGTATATATCTCGAGTATTGTCATAAATTATGAACTTTATACAAACAGTTAATAATTCGAAACTTGTGCGCAATACCGATATATAAATCTTTAATATCATAGTAGTTTTTCGTTAAAACATTCATTTTTGTTTACAAAAAATTAAAAATAGCACGCCAATTCCAATATGTATAAAACATTTACACACTTTCAAATATTTCAACTCTTGAATGATTAATTTTTCTCTAATTGCGTGAATAGTTAGATGATATTTCAATTTATATATACAGTGCAAATTTCAATAAGTTCTTAGCAAATTCATTTCGTCTCACCACCTTTTCAAGAGATATAGTTAGTCGAAAGGTTTCACAAGGAGTATCAGTGAAATCGGACGATTCGGGAGTATCCAATGAAGCAACGTGATTTGAAATAGAAAATACATCAATAATTACTCATATATTTCTTCGCGTAATAGGCGTTCAAATATAATAAGACATGTTACAATCGATATTTAACAGTGTCAGATAGGAAAAAGTTTTCGGGGGCAGTGTTTCATCAATTTCTTCTGTGTACACTATACATCGCTTTATCAAAGTAAAAAACAATTTACAATATTATGAGTGCACATACTTCAGCGAACTCGGCGTCGATTCCATGGAACGAAGGACCATCGTTAATAATATGCGCTTTACGGTCGGGGGCGATAATAAGCGGAGGATCACTTATCCGTTTTCATGTAGCATGTAAATTTTCATTTCTTTCTTTTTTTCCTTTTTTTCTCAGCACGGACACGCGCGTGCGAGACATGATTGATACATTATGCTTTGTGGAGTATAAAATCGTTGAGGAATAGCGAATAAACGTAATTGTATGAAATTACATAGGAGATTAAAACTTATCTAAGGAGACCCATGTTGCATATTAAAATTATAATCAGAATTATCGAAATTATCGTCGAAGGGGGGAAGAGGGTACACGTTCAAAATCGAAATATTCATCATAAAACTTTCATTGGTCGTGTGTATTGTTAGTTAAAAAGAGGAAGTTAAAAAATGCGATCAAAAGGCAAAAGGAGGTCACGACCACCTCCGTCAGTCTGTTGCACACTTCGGGTTTGCGTTTGTACAGTGTCGCGAGATTATTAACGCATGGCTGAACACCGTGCTCCCAGTAAAAAGTTCCGAACATACGCGGCGTGAGCCATCACACTCTTTCTCGCGAGGATTCTACTGAGATCAAAGGCGTAAGATATTCGAGCATATAATCGGTACTATCGCGTTTGCAAAACAAAGCAACGAAAGATATCGATACAAAACGATATGTAAGAAGAGAGAGAGAGAAAAAGAGAGAGAGTGTGTGTGTGTGCGCGCGCGCGCATGTGTATATGTATGTTCGTGTACATGTTCGTAAAAGTTCACAGTGCATCAAGGCGGAAACGCACTTTGCATAGCACATTGCTTCTGCTAAGGACTATCCATGCGATTATTCTGTCTGATGAGAAACGGAGGATTGCGGATAAATGCAACGTTAAAGTAACTACATCGTACGTTAAGCGCCGTCCCGGAATAATCGAGAAATCCCGAAGATTCTGTTACATGCTCCTCGTTTCCCCGAACGAGGAGAAAGAAACTTAACGATTAAGCAACATCGATAAAAAATATATTTTTAACGCGTTCTCCCTACGTCATGGCCATCGACAGACACCTCCCTTAAGTTCACCACGCTTAATCTTCTTACTTGTTCGTACTTTGTGTATAATTCTACTTAAGTAGCTATATCTTTTTGTCGTTCGGAACATCCCCGCGTTGTCGCGCCGGTCGTGCTTGCGCCCGTCGTCGCGGAGCTCGCGTGATGTTCGAAACGTTTCAAATACTGCGGATGGCTTAAGTCGCATCTTTATAATAATTAAAAATATAAAGTAACTCGCATATGTGTTTAAGGCTGCCATATTATTCACGTTTTGTGATGTTTCATCATTGTTGCCTCTCTATCAGTAAGCTACGAACTTTTCTCTTTTTTTTTTCAAGTCTACAATTACATTGATCGCACATGCACCAGCAGACTTGTCGTTGAATCAACGAATCAAGACCGGCCATGTAAGACGATAGATTGATTAAAAAGACGATAGATTCGCTGTAAAAGTGGTGGTTTCGTTACGGCACTTTGTAAAACTTCGTATATATTATCTTGAACTATCAGTAATAAAAATCTTAAAATTTTCCTCGATAAAAAGAAGTCGCAGCGAGACAATTCATATCTGCTTCGCTCCGCATATGTAATAAGGAAAAAACAATAAAACATTGTCTAGGCCTATTTCCGTCTAAAAATCGCCATCGATTCTCCATCAATTAGGAAAGCTATTTAGAATATTTTCAAGTAGAGTACAACATGTGTGTGTGTGTGTGTATATGACTGATGTGTCAGTGAAAAATACTTAAGGTTCGTATTAAAAATTAATTGTCGTCATCGTCGTGATCAATGCTAAAATGCTGCATAGAAATCTAGATTTTTCTTTTTTTTTTTTTGTTCTTTTAAACCTACTGTATATAAATCCTACCTACGTCGCCGCTGTGTACACGTTTACCTATTAAGTAAGAGTAACTAATTATTGGTAGCTCCATATGCGGGGCGCAAAATCGATGCGTGTGGTCAGCGTAGAGAAGAAACGATATGGAACAGGCCTACGATCCAACCTCCTCTGGCCTAGCCAACGGCGCCTTGGACACTTCTGTAGTCACCGTAGTCGTAGTGATCTCCAGGTTGGCCAGATCCGCAGCACTAATCTGCAATAACGAAATATTCTACATGCCGCTGCGCTTCTTGATATCTCTTAGAGAATATGTGTTTTGATAAGAAATCCAAAGAGTAAAGTTAGCCTGAAGGTAACTCAATAGTCGGAATTCGCTTTACATCTACATTAGTGTTGCGAACTAATTCGTTTGTTAACGAGTGTGTGTAACAGTGAGAGGGGGATGCAGCGGGGACAGAGTTAATAATCGGAAATCAAACGATCAGATCGAAAGCACAGGTGCATTTAGTAGCAGGTAAATGATGAATTTATGGTTAATGGCGCACGAATAATACTGAAGCGTCAGAACACGGGGTTTAAATATCGAGGTAACGGCCGACACCAATAATTGTAATACGGTTCCAGTGCCGTTTTTGCTGACCTCGACGTTCGGAGGTAGAGTGATGGTAGCGTGTGTCGTCGTTGTCTCGATACCGCTGCGTATCTCTCGCTCTACCGTAGTGCCTGCGCAATAAAACAAATGCCACACAAACGCCCAAACAATGATAACGAGAAAAAAGAAGAAAAAAAAGAAAGAAAATTCGGCGATTTACAAACGAGGATTGAAACGAACGAAAAAAGGAAAGGAAAACTATCGAAGCGCCAGGAGACAAAGACAGAATGTAGATTAACAACGCGATGCAACGTGAGTATCGTACAATCCATCGTGTCTGACACACGGTCGATTAGTACCTGGCAAAATCAGTGGGGTCTGATGACCTAGAAAACTCGACTAATCACGCATTAATCCTCTTTAAGGCTCCCGATTCGCGATTATGTTGGATCGTAACGCCAGAAGCGAGAAATGACACGCTGAAAATTTTTGCATGGTATTTTTAAATAAAATTACATTTGAATGAGAGAATATTTTAGATCGCTTGAGCATACTTGTAAAATATTTCGGAAACTATCCTTTCCTTTGAAAGTTAATAGCCGTAAAAGTAACGTGACAAAATCATGAAAAAAAAATGGATTAAAGAGCAAGGTTGTATGAAACGTTAATCTTCTTTCATACGAATATCTCTTTAGTTGAAAATGGCGAACGCGAATACTGGGCATATGTTTTCTCGTTTCTGACGTTACTCATCAAAAATCTTGCGACAAGGAATCAGGAACCTTAACGAGCTGTTATGCGAGTATATCGAGCGCTAATAAATTATCAATCTTTCTCTCTTTGTGAGTCATCAATCTGATGTTCTAACGATGAAGTAACGGTGGATGTTCAATTCGGAATCGATTTTGCGATTTCACTCACTGTTCACATGCTGCGTCTCGTTCGCCTGACTCGTCTCAACCTCACCATTGGCGGTCGTGCTATTTGTAGTCTGCGTAACCACGGTAGTAGTTTTCACTACTAACGACTGATTCTGTGTAGATATCTCGGAAGACCGTGAGGTCACCTCCATTTTAAGCCCTGCCAAACGATTGTGGAGTTCCTCGGAAGACGTGGCGTTTCTGAAAAGTGAACTGTTACTGCCAAAGGATGGCGAGTACATCGAGCACGCATTAGTCAACGCAGCGGCGAAATCATTCATCAAGCCATGCAATATTTAAATAAATACGCAGGCTAAATACGCGCAACACATATTGTCTACGTGAAAAATGTGACGTAATTAAAAACTACAATCTAATAAATTGAAAAAGAGGAACATCAAAATACATATCGCGCATATAAAAGCGAATCAAGTATGATAAATAAGGTAGACCATTAAGACGATTATTAATGCAACTTACAGTAAGTGATCTTTAACACTGTCGATCGTGATGTCTCCAATAGAACTTAAATCCTGCCGGTCGTCATCCCCATTTACGTCCACACTACTCGTGGCTGGTCGCAGCGACGGTTCCTTCGGAGACTCTTCTTCTCCAGCTAAAAGACATGCGTTGAGGAATCGACACTAAACGGCACTATTACGACACAGCATTCCCTAATTGTCATGTTAATTGACACAAGGTACACGTAAATAGCGGTAAGATCAGTCGTAATGGGTCACAACACATGATCAGGCACACAAGTATATGCGGGTTACAAAGGTAAATGCCAAGCGGTTACACGTGTTTAGCGATCGCACAGAAGCCGCTGGTGTATTCTATATATGCGATTGTGTAAAAAAAAAGAAGAAAAAAAGAAACATATTTATCTTTTCATATTATTCGTAGAAAGGATATGAGGGTTTTGTTGTAACCGGCATACTCACTGGAACCCACCACGCCATTCTCCGTGATAACTCGGTTCACTACCGTTGGCGATTGACTTCCTTGAGTCTCTCCTTCGATCTCGGGTGCGCCTTCGACAACACCTTGCTCCTGCGAGACCTCGTTAGCGCTGTCCGTGTATGTTCTAGCAAGCGGCGGTAAATTGAGGGCGCAATGTGCCTTTGTCACTTTCGCGGCCGACAAGGAAATTCGTTGCAGTTCCGAGCTCGAGTGGAGATACAGCGCCTCTCCGGATTTCGTGAATGTCAAGGAAGAAATACCGCTGAAAAAGGAGAGAAAGGAAACACACGTGAATTTGTGTGAATTACGGATAAGAGTGGAAAGACGAGAAGGGAAATATAGTTACTTAATATCTTCTCGTTTGATCGCGGCGGCATTCAGTTGTCTCCTCAATTCCGGTATGCTCAACACCAAACAGTCACCCAGATTTGTCAGACAGAGTAAGCAAGTTTCTTCGTGAGTGCCTGTCGGCTCAACGGAACACGAGAACTTGGCAAAACCTGTTTTACGCACTCTGGATCCTTCGTGGGCGGTCAGCTTATATTTACAGTGCGGCTTCAGGGACGGAAGATTGAAGATTTTGAACTGTTCCTCGCTGGCGATCACGACTCTGTGTGGAGAAGTCATGTCGGGTCCGGGTGTCACGCCTTTCTCTGCTTCGTAGGGCTCTGGTAATGGCACGCTAGATCCATCGAGGATCGTAATTGCGATTACGGGCGCCCGATGCTTCAACTGTATTTCCTTGCCCAGCGTGCAATTAACATCTTCCTCCATTCTTCTAGCACCAGCCGGAATGGCCAACGTGAAGACGTACACCGTTCCGTTGTTAGTACCAGCCCAAAGTGTGGGAGTTGTATTTTGTACTGTGAAGACAGATTTTTAAGTCACTCACATTATGTTTGTGATGAATCTCGCGCTTATTGAGAGATACTAACAGCTAATAATGTAACTTCTTGCGAAATATAAGCACCGGACCATAGAACCTAGAGCGTCGTCGACGGGTCTTGCTTCTACTTGTCTCTCCACTGGTTTCAATTCCACTCCCGGTGATAGATCACCGCTCGGCGAAGAGGCGACACTGGGACTACAATTTAATAATTATCACACGTTGCTTTCTTTTAATTTTAATATAATCATAATGCTGGTGATTGAAATAATAAGTCAAATAATATCAATAATAATGTGACAAAATTGAACAAATACATTTTGCTCGTTTATATGTGGTGCATCACATTTTATGAAAACTTCGATGATATCATAACGTTGTCGGACGTGAAAAATAATTCTCACCTGTCTTTCTTTTTCTCGGGTGCGGTATTTTGTGTAGAACTATTAGTGTTCGTTCGACGCTGCGAACGTCCTTTTCTCAATCTCCTGAAAGACTCTCTAAGAGACTTTTTAAAGGATTTCCGGCGGGAAATAGGCGTGTCACCTGCACCGGAGAGATCTGAAGATATATCAGAAGATAGCTACATTTGTTCATGGCATTAAAATTAAATTCGTAGTGATTCGTTTCACATACCATTTGGATTGAGCGTGCACTTGACGCTGACAGCCTTTCCTCTGGTATAATCAAAGACTGCAAGCCCGTGCGCCGTGCCGGCCGCGAGTAGTCCCCATTCACTGTGCAACGCCAATGCCGTGGCAGCAGCTGGCGGATACAACTGGAGGAGGCTCTGCGGTTGAAAGCCGACCGCGAAGGATATACTCGTAGTTCGCGGCGGTAGATGATCGTGACCTTTCCACACAAACCCGTCGCGATCGTTGACTATATTCATGGTGACACTCTTAATCTCCTTGTTAACCGGCTCCGACGAGATGATGGCGGTGATAACGTGGCCGGCTGTACCGGCGATCACCAAGGTAGACGACAACGGGCAGAGAAGTACTTTCTTCACTGCGAGCCGCGGATCATCAGAATATGGATCGAAGATTCCCACTTTCTTAAACGGCGGCCACTCATCCTCGTCGTCCTCCGGCGGCTGTTCCAAAACGTCCAAATGTTCGCCAGTGAACAGAATCGACGAATTGTATTTGTACAGAGGTGTCAGAGGGACGTCAGACGCGTTCCAGAACCTCACGGTACCGTCCTCGTGTCCGGTAAGCAGCAGTTCTCGGCTCTTGGGCTTGTCAGGGTTCGCCGGTTTCTGGCAGAGGATAATGCCGCCATCGATGGGCCACGCCTTATCCGAGTAGAGATGTTCTGTCTGTGCTTTGCCGGCTGCTACGATCGCCTCCCACAGCTCTTCTGGGACATTGGGCACGTGTTGGGAACAAGTCACCTACGATACGGAAGAGTTTATACCTTGCATCTCTCACAACTGTTCTCTCATGTCTTTCTTTCAGAATACTCACTGCACTCGCGTGGAGAGACACCAGATAAGGCAGAGCCATCATCTTCCACTCGGGATTGGTCAAATCGATAGCTACCAGTTCCTCTTCGGCCAACACTACGAGCGCTTCCGGACTGATGGGACTCTCATTGTTGCCGTCTTCCTCCTTAGGGAATACAGTGAAGAAGTCGATCACCTTGGACGTGAAATCGAAAACTAAATGTTTGTCCTTGGTCATGACAGTGATGGTGTGTCGATCTCCGTAACTGGCGCGCTGCATACCACCGGAGAATAGGACGAGTTCGCCGTGTCTGTGAAAAAAACAAAAGTTTACTAATCGGATTCGCGGGAAGACGAGCGAGAGTTCCTACATCATCCGATTCCCAAACTTACTCCGCGGTAGGATACACGAGGATCTTGGTGACCGCCTTGCACGGGAACGGCCCGTAAAGCGTCGTGGGCTCCGGCACTGCGTCACTACCTGGGCTCCAAAAGGCGTAGGACCCGTCGTTGTGTGACGAGACGAAGCGACTCTCGGAGATCCAGTGAACCGATTCCAGCTGTTGCGTGGAGACGAATGTCTGCGCACGCGAAAACAAACCCATCAGCTGCACGTTCGCCAAAACCACCAAAGACACAAACGACAATCAGAACGAGCGGTACCATCTCACAAATGAACCCTGCCGTTCCGTTCGGCTTCACTTCGACCACTTTTTTATTATTTTCAAAGCACGATAATTCTGTCGCTTAATAGACAGAATAGTGGAAAATTCTTGATTGTTAACGAACTTGATGATCCTCGATTTTTACACAAGCGTCTATAAAATATATATGAGATATATAAAAATGCAAAAGAGAAGAGATAAGTATATCTGATGAAATGTACTAACAACATATAGAAGTAACAACACATAGAGATGCGTTTGAACTCGAACGTACAAAATCAGAAACGAACGGGCTAGCAGGGTTAGACACTGACTCACAATGTATATGTTGTTTGAAGCGTCTTTATACATGTGAATTGTTCGTAAGCAGTGAGTGTTGCATATGCCAAATGTGTAGTTGGATAATCCCGAAAGATCAAAATCCCGAAATTTGGGAAGCAGAACAACGTCCCGAAAAGTCACGATCTCAAAAACAGAGTACAATTAGGAACAATTTCTTGAAATATTGAAAGCACGGAGTTGTCTCATAAAGTTTTACGACGAATTATTGAGAATTTCATGCTTGCAACATTTCGGATGATTGTTCCTATACTCAGTTTTCCGGATTATGATTTTCTGGGACGTTGTCCTACTTTTAGAATCTCGACACCTTCTTTTCGGAATTATTCATGTCCGCTTGTAGTTATATGTAATGTAGAGGCGTATGAACGGACACAGCGCTTACCTGCTGAGCTCCCGGAGTGGCTTTATTCCATAGCACCATCAAACCACGGTTGTAACCAATCAGGATGTTATCCGGATGTCCCGGTTGCTCTGCAATGGCTTCAACCGCTCCTGGGTTTTTCTTATAGTCCTCCGGAACACTACGGACATGACAAAAACGATTTGATGATCTTTGCACAGGCTGCATGACCTTATCGTTTGAATCATCTTCGTTGTTAAAAAGAATGTCGAGTCAACTTAGGGAGTAAGAAAAATACAAAACATGACAATGCTCGCTCACTTCTGCATCACGACATCCTGATAAATAATATTGTCCGGCATGACGAAGGTCTTCAGGTTCAGTAGATAGATGTTGCCGCCTTCCGTTCCTAACAAGAGATGTTCCCCACTCGATTCGAGACACATTGCTGAGATCTTTTTCAATTTGCCTTCCAACGACAACGACTTCGTCTCCACCACGGAACTTTCATTGATCTCCCATAAATGCAGCGAATTGTCATCGCACAAGGAAACCACGCGACCCTGCAATTCATGGCACATTAAATCGATAATATTTCTTTCCGAATTACGCGATTACGTGGCATTATTATACAAAATACATCGCATACATACTGTATCACTGCATGCGCGTTCATTCATTTATTTATACCGACATATTTTTGATATGATACACACGATAATACTTCTTAGGATATCTTTTAATAAAAATGTCTTCGCGCGTGACATCTTATTAATGCCAATTGTTTCTCGCGTAAAAAGACTTTCGTATTTAAGATTGGGAAGTAATATTTAAAATTGGGAGGTTACAACGTCGTTATCGTTGCAAATATTTTCTCTTTGGTAAATATTTGGCAACAATTTACTCTAACCATTAGTTTTCTCTATACTTGTAACAAAAGTAGTAAGTTCGTTACATTTTTTTCAGTAATGTTACGAAGGCAACAGTTACTTTTATTTTTATAATATATTATCACTTTATAATCTATTTCTCTAAGAAACACAAAAAACAAATTTTCACAAAATTACCAAAATATACAAACTCGCAGATTATTATTCACTAGTCGTAGTTATATAGTTGGATTTAAGTTGAAAGTTATTAATTGATTAACATACGTTTGTTAATTTCAAATAAAAAAACAATATATGTTACAATATAAAAATTACATAAAGTTTTTTCTTCGTTATCAGAACGAATAAATAAATATATATATATATATAAATAGTGTAAATTTATTTTAATTTATTTATTAACGTATCATTCAAATTCGATAAAAAGAAGAAAATTTTGTAAAATCATAATGTATATGTTATCTAAAATTATCAATTTGATATTATTAATAATGTACTCCCTCTCTAAATACTTTGGAGTGGAACTTCACTCAAAACGAGTGAAAAGTGGCAATATTTTCACTTATGAAGCGACAGTGAAAATATTGTCACTCGAAATCACAAGAATGAATATTTCACTCAAGTTTAGAGCGGATTCTAACTCCATATATAAGTGAATGTTTCAGTCGATTAAAGTGAATATGTTCCTATGAAGGTGGAGCACACATCAAATCCATCTTTTAATTCCTAATAAAAATATTCACTCGACGATTAAAAGGGGACAATTCACTCTGTATGAGTGAAAAAGCACTCCAAGAAATTTACACCGCAATAGAAGAGATTAAAAAGTAAATGAAATAGTAATAAAAATATTTAAATAGTAATATTTAAATATTTAAATAGTAATAAAAATATTTAAAGATACAAATATCTTATGATAAATTTAACTCCGTTAAAATAATTAGAGGCATAAAGATAGAAATAACGGGAGTGGTGACGAGTTTCAGTCGTTTTATTTAAGTAACGATAACATGAGTTAGTTTTTACAGAAAAGAATGGCATAACGGCGCAATACTTTTATAAAGTTTGATAAACTTTTCCTCTATTATATACGATTCATATTTGATATTTCACTCGTTACAAATGTTCAATAGCGATTTTTCTCGTTTCGTTAGAAAGTCTATGTGTATTCCCCTGACACAGTGGATGCAATATGGCGCCTTGCAATAAAGATTAACGTGGCTGCCGGGCTCTCCTATCATTATTACACGGAGAAAATGCTTACGTAATTTCTCCGCTTCTCACGGGCCAACTCCCGTATCCTTCTTGCTCACAGTAGCTGTCGCTCGTAATGCAAGTGAAAACTCGCGGGAAACGCAAGGTCACAAAAGACGAAATCGACCACGTTCGATAGCAACGCCTATATTTAGAATATCGAGTCACGTATGATCCGCAATAAGCGTCAATCATGCGGATAACTTGCTTCTTTCCGCGAATCTAAATTTAGTCGAAATTTCACACCAACATTTCGATTGAGAATGATTAACGAATACGTGAAAAACTCCAACTTGAGAAGATGCATCGTAATTCAAACGTTGATAAACGTATATCAGTGTTGATTATTATTATTATCTTCTCTCTATTTAGCATAAACATTGTTGATTGCGAAAAATATATTACTATTTGCGTTCGAAATTTTCATCTTTAAGCTTGGCATAATATCAGGGAAAAACTAGAACACACGTAAAATTTCATAAAGTCCAACGTGAGATTTCTATCATAGGTTAACTCTTATCTTATCGGTACCAAGATTTGCTTGAAACTTATCATGATAAGGAACGTTCGTGTTCACGTCGTTGTGCAATCACATGGACAAATACATGATTTTATTAACAGGCCACACCTGGTACGGATAATTCTGCGTGTAAGAGATGCGATATTTCCAATAAATTATCGAACTCCGTTCGATCGCGGTTGAGCTTCGAGGGAACGAGCGTGTCGCAAATCGAGAATTCAATTATCAATGGAACCAGTTATCAATAATAAACGTGCACCGTGCATTTGAATTCAATTACTTTCCCACAGTCATTTTCCCATAAAAAAATGAAATGCAAATCTCTTTCGAGATAAACATGCCCGCCAGACGTTATACAAACAAGACAACATTTAACTTTTCTGTTTCCCGTCACTTGCCTCGGACTGTTCGTAGTAACGAGCTCGTCCAATATTTGTCGTTATATCAGCATCATTTGCAAGTTCATGCGTAAATGTTTATACGCGCGTCAGTCGACAAACATTCGGATAATTGGCGGTCTGCGAGCGCGGAAGAAAGCTTTTCTCCTCTCTACGCGTCGGTCGTATTTCACGCCGCGATTTAATTGCATTCCGCAGCATTAATTGCGATGCCGTAATGTCGTTGCACCCGCGTGTTACTTATTCGTGCACGCGTACGCAAGCACATTGTACGTGTCACGCATGGGATTATGCAACCCACCCCGACAACCGTATAAGCGGAACACGGTGTCGCGTTACTCCGTGCGATGCGTGTGATCTCGGAAGTACCGTAAGTTAGCGCCTCACGACAGTGTCTACCGCGACGCGAAAACGAAAAGTACTCTGAGGGAAAAATGTATGATATTTGGAATTATAATGGCATAGTAAAAAGATTGTAGTTAGGAATATCATTTTTATAGTAAATGTTACCATAATATTTGTAATATTTACGATATAACTGACCCGTGTAAAATTTTTACCAAGAATTATAATTATTTGAAATAAAAAATATAGTATGGTAGCAAATATTGAACGGTAAGAGAAATTAACTATTTTATACAGTCAATACAATTGGAATATTTGGCAAATATAGGTATATGTAACTATATTCCCAAAAGATGCTTTACTATATATATATATATATATATATATATATATATATATAGAGTAATAAGATGGTGACTGTAAATCTGTGTTCATTCTACTATATCTTCATGTTTAGATGAATAAATATATGTTTGAGGCCAAAACGAACTATAAAATATAGTGAGATTATAGTTATTCCAACTATTTTTTTCTCTCAGTGAACATAAAAAGTAATTTCTTCTAAATGCAGAATAAATTTCGGGAGAGATATTGTGCACACTGTGCAAACTGACGATCAAAGGATAATTGGCCAATAGCGACATTTCCGATGCTAATATTAAAATATTTAATTTGTGTTGTAAAGAAAAGAAGAATCGACACGCTTGACTTGCAATACGATACCAACTAAATTGACATTTTTATTTTTCTTTCTTTAGTATAGTTCTTATAGAAACGTTAGAACTTTATCTCACACATATTGATATTATATCTCAAAGTTAATAAAAACAATTAAACTATTTCGTGATTCCTGGTGATTCAAAATGATTGCACGTTTTTCCTTTCCCTCTCAGTATAGTTTCTTTTTTAAAAGTAAGCATATCTAAATTTCTTTTCTCTTTATTGCTTTTTCCTTTGAAGAATTTTGAAAAATGGAATAAAAAATATATTCAATTTGTATTTGCTATAAGTTAAAAAAAATACAATAATTTAAGTAAATCTAAAGGGATATAATATCTTATCCCGAAATTTTCCCACATACTTCTTAAACTGTTAAATATAAAAAATAAACATGTTACTTGAAATTGCAAATAACATTTTTGATAGGAGGAGACACATGCACACAACTTGATAAAATGAACATTTTTAATGTTTTGGTCTTCAAAGTTCAGTGTGTTCAAATACTTTATGGCCCATATTTATTTTTATTAAAAAAAACATGCAGCTTTTTTCAGCATATGTCATTCCTCGTCACAAATCCGACATGGCCGGTGAAGTTCAAAGAACTTTAAATACGAATATTCAAATTTTTAACATATAATATATATATATATATATATATATATATATATATATATATATTATATGTTGAAAATCTAAATATTTGTATTTAAAGATTAAAATAATAAGAATGTCCAGAGTTAAATATGTGTCAAGTAACGGTACTTTTACTTTATGCGACATTCTAGTTCGAGTTATCTGAAAAACAGTACTATCATAATCAATTATCTCACCTCGTTCGGCAGTGCGACGATCTTGGTGACGGCATTCTCACCGCTTTCGACGGAATGTTGTCCATAGAACTCTACACCTGGTCTCCCGAAACTGCAGTGATCGTGGCGTTAAGAAATATAATAAATATGACACGAAACAGATGACACGAAACAGATGAAACGAGATATGCATGAAACGTTATGAGAGGGTCAGGAATCCGAATGACCGATATAACAAAGAGCTGACAAAGAGGATTTCACTTGATGACACGGCGACTGTTGCGACTGATCGCGAAGCTTGCGATTTTTAAAACGCAGACAATGTGAATTAAGGAGGAACATATATTTAGAAACCAGAAATAAATTCTGTTTTCCAGAATTTTTTCTTTGAGATGCAAAGTTCTTTAAATCCGCTTCTTTTTTATCCGAAAATATATAACTTCTACATTAATTTTTTATGTTGATACTTCAAAATTCATCAAAATGGCCGCGATATAACAATCAGCATTGTATATGTCACACGTTGACCTGAAAATATCAAAAACAATTTTAAAGCGTACGAAATCAAAGAAGTCAAAGATTCTCTTAAAGAGCGTTAAAATATGAAGGTGAAACATAACCGTTTTAAAAATTTTGTTTTTGAACAAAATGGTACATTTTCAAAGTTTAAGTCTTAATTTTTCTGACAGAAGTACGACACTAATTTGATAATTATAAATGAATAAAGACATAAACAGAAAAAATTCTACAATGCTACCCCTTGATATTTTAATACTCTTTAAAAAAACCCTTAGCTTTTTTTATTTCGGATGTGCTTTAAAGCTGTTTTTTAATGTCATTTTTCGGCTCGGCGTGTAACATATAACCATTTCGAAGTATTTTGGAGTATCAACATTAAAAATTAACATATAGGTTGGACACTTAAAAAAGAAGAAAGTTTAGAGAATTTCGCATTTTAAAGAAAAAAATTTCTGGAAAATAGCCTTCATTTTCGGTACCTAAACATATGTTTTCCCTTGACTTACTTATATTAAATCCGAAAATCAGAGAACGCAAAATTTAGATGCAGTGATTCCGGATTTCGCACGCGAATCGATAAAATTTCAATATGACATCATCGGCCGTGGGAGTGTTCCTGGTGAGATCGAGTGGAGACGTTCTCGACTCGTGAATTAACATTCCGGCATTGCGTGATATTTCCATCTGGCGAGAGGTGTCACCCAGCCTACTTTCAAGTTTCGATCAATATTTTCTGCGACCGCGACGGCATAACACGTGGTATCGCAAGCGAGGAACGCCTGCCCGCTCGATTTCGAATCAAGCTCGCGTCTGATTCCTGAAAAATCTATTCGAGAGCCGAGGCGCGGCGCAAAAAACGCGCTCACGTAGACTGGCTCGTAGAAAGTTGCGTCGTGTCTAAAAACGGAAACTAGATAAAGTATCGTCGCTCGTGCTTCTCCACGCCGCGGAAAAAAAGTTCAAGAGGCTTGATTACGTTCCAATATATAATCGACGGCTACTTGCGTATGTGTCGGATTAATAAAACGCCAGTTGCGCGTTACGAAGATTTTCTCGGTGAGGTGTGCCGTGTAGATAAACCATACGTGTATGTATTGCGAAATAATAATGATCATCTGACGATTGCGTAGTCCTTGGAAGCATCTGCCGACTGTGCGCGAGTGGCGACGGCACTAAAACGGCATTAAATCGCCGACGAATGCGCGCACTCGCTGACGCGTTGATAATTTCGTCACATTCCACTTAGGGCCGATTTTTCAATGATAGTTTAAACTCAGATTTCAACTTAAACTCTGTTTAAACAAAACAGACGCATTGTTAGAATAGAGTTTAAACTTCCAAGTTTAAACTGCTATTGAAAAATCGCCTCTTAGTTATTCCTCCTACACACGATAAAATAAAGGAACAGAACTAGGCACAGATAAAAAGAAACAAAACGTAATCACAATCGTAATCACGATCGATACGAGATTAGGAGGCGATGACTAGGCGAGACTAGGATCCGTATCAACAGTCGTTACTTGAAACTTGTCTCAAGTGAGATATTCAGATTTTTAGAATCAGATCAGAGTCAGATTCAAGTTTGAATCATGATATGATATGATGTGATATTTATATCTGTAGTCGCACGATTCAATGGGAAAAACATTCATTTAACTGTACATTGAAACCTGCGTATCTCATTTGAAACGAGTTTTAAGTAATGACTATTAATACGAGCCTAGGACTTTTAAGGAGATGCTGGAAACTTTATCGACAGAGTACTGACATTTTTCTGCAAGGTTTATGTCGTATTGGTTGTACAGAATTACAAGTGCTTTTAATGCAATGTTTTCGATGCAATGAAAAATGTTTTATATGCAAAAATAAATAGAAACATTGCTCAATATGAGAAAAATGAAAAACAAATTTTAAATGTAAAATTTCAAGCTGTCAACGTAATATTTGCCTAGTCCAAAAGTTCTGCAGCTTGTACATACCGAAAGTGTGGGTGTCCAAACAAAACAATTTTAAAACAGAAGGAACATTATTATGTACTTTGAATTCAGAAGCTTAAAAATATCGAAGAAGTTTGCAGAAATATTTCTACACATGCGCGATTAGGTTTTTCGCTGAATATGGTAAAATAAAGCAACACAAATTCACATAAGATCTATATATACGAAAAATACGGGAAAGGTAGCGTGATTGTGTTGGTGACGATCGTTTCTACGTTATTGACATTTTTGGAGTTCGACATCCCTTAAAGGTGTAATTTTTCTGTGCAGCCAGAGAGACAATTTAGGTTCTTGATGTTTGTACTGATTAATTGATTCATTTCGGTCGGATAACCATATTCCTATTTGCGTTCGAAAAGAATGCGCTCGAGGTCAGGCCGTATCGTGGCTTGGTACAATTTCCAGTTAATATTGCAAATGGGCTTTTTGTTAGGTCGATAATTCGCCAGGCGCATACGTGCAGATTAGATGAGTGGAGGTCGCGAAATGAGAACAATAAAGATTAGGAAACAGAATCCCATCTATCTGTCTTTTAGCAATTTTGCAGAGTGCCGAAAAGTCGCTTTAATCATCTGTTGTCAACATCATCTTACGTGACTGTGTGTTGTTAGTCGGAGCCTTGCCTAATGTGAAACGATTGCGAAATGTCGCATTCCTTAAGAAGATATCAAAGTGGATGACGAACTCCAAAATTGTTGATCGTTAATTTAGATGTCATCATCAAAACATCATGTTAAATAAGCACTAACACGACGATCAACTAATCTTTTTTCGTATTTTTTGTATATATAGTTCTTATATAAAAACAGATTATTGTGCCGCTTTGTTTTACTACACGGAGAGAATTTTACAGTAAAAATTTCTATAAAATTTTGTGACCGAATAAATCGACATTCTGCAATAATTGATTCCGTCCTTCCATTTCATATGTGCTACTTACATTTTAGTGCAACTGAAAAGTGCTATTAAAAATTTTGCTTTGTTTCTAACAAAATTTTCGATTTAAAAATTCTTTAGCGAGATAAGCTTAAAATTGGTTTACACCAGCAGTAACGTCGCTAATCACCTGTGTTTCTAGCAGTGTTATTGACAAATGTAGATTGTTATATTTAAAATCACTGAAAATTGTTTCTTACAAGACAAGTTTATCACATTTTGCTACAAACTTTGTTATTTTGTAATAAAAATGTTAATAACATTTGTTAGTGTTTTTTGAAATTGTTTTGAAAAAAAACACAAGCTACAGAACTTTTAAATCAGGCAAATATATTTATCTTAACTAGTATCTCGAAATGTTAACTTTTTAATTCTTAAATCAATTTCGTCACATATCGAGCAATGCTCCAAACGTATTTCCAATGTGTAAAAAGATTTGTAATTTCGTGCAATCAATATGACGTAAACGTTTGCAGATAAAATCAGTATTGTGTCAGTATAAAGTTTTCAAGTATGGCATCCCCTTATGTAAACGAATAATAAAGTTAATGGAATGTCGGAATGTCAACAGTCTTTCAAAGTTAAACTTCTCATTTTTAAGTCCTCATAAATCTTAAAATTTGATCAGATCCGCGCCGAAAACAAAAGTATTAGACGTTTTCTCCTATTTTATTGGTTTCAGTTTTTCGAGCAACACCTGGTTAAATTAATTTTAAAGTATTGAGAAGTTTATATTACACACAAATTATTGAAAAAAATATAATTAAAAAAATATAAATTAAACCAATGGTGCACTGAATATTTCAAATGGAAACTACCGCGGTCGTATATAATGCGAGATTACGGTATGCGAATGACGTGATTTAACGTTTCTTCAATAATGCCCTGCTCTATCCAGAGTGTAAGTTTATAAAATACATCACAATTGATTTATACGGAGCTTTTATTAGACAATCGCTCGCACGACGCCATAAAATAGATTTTTCTATTGTGGCAATGAAAAGGCCGTAAAATATATTTACGGCCGAACGATACTTACAACGGTAATTGTGTCCCGATTACAAAGGATATTTATTCTCTATTTTCGTATGATCCAATAAAATGCAATTAGAAAACCTGAGTGTTCCTTTAAACCCAATAGTGAGTACTCACAAATTTCAAATAAAAAAAAAAAAAAAAAACGAAAAGGAAGAAATATAATTTCTGCAAATCCAAAACGATAATCTAAAGATTATAATGAACATTACACACGCTTATTATCGAATAATTGATCCGAAGTACTCGTAATTCTCTCTTCCTGGTGAACGAAACTTTCTGAGGATTAATAGATCGATGTACGTCATCGAGCTCCGACGATTGCCTCGGGACCAGATTATAAATACCGGACGAAAAGAAAGCGAGGCAGACGAAGGCGAGGAGCAAGAAAAGCAAAAGGATACACCTTGATGGCGCCGGATGCCGTGCCGATGATCATCAGCCGCAAACTCGGATCCCAGGCGAGAGCCGTTGGCTTGTTCGGGAAACCATGCTGCACAGTCTGTAACGAATAGGAGTGGATGATTAGTGACGCTGACCTCGCAATCGATTTCCCGACATCGCAAACACATTTATTTTTCGGATGCTCACCGTGTTTCACTATCTGAGATCAAAATTTTTGCCATCTTTGTCGCTAGGATCGATAAAGGATATTCTGACAGTGATGAAAATACAGAACGGCTCGATGTAATTTAATAATGAATCTAACAACCGGAATTATTAAAAATCATAGGTGCCCTGGTAGACATTTAATGCAGTTTTCGAGCAGTTATTGGACAGTTATATCAACTTTTGTCTATTGATTGAGGAGTAACTACTTTATATAAGCATAGAGAAAAAGAAAAAGGAGATTGGAGTAAATAAGCCATCTGACAAACAGCTATAACAGAAATGACAACCAAGATTAGAAATGAAGGTGAATAAAAGATAAGTGAGAGGTATATGTTTCAGAATTTCATTGCAATGAAAACATCAGGCTATTCTGACGGTAATAGCTGCATTCAGCACTCAACAGTTGCACAATAGTTGAGCAATTCGATAATGTAATTGGTCTAGATTTAGGGATGTAATAGTAAAAACCAATAATCGTTGATTGCTTACTGAGTGGCTTACTTCAGCAATTTTTTCTGCTAAATACGCCCAATGATACAAATGAAAGCTATCATGATAGATTCAAAACCTGATAAATACAACTATAAGAATGAGTAAAAAAATTTGTCATTTGATGGTTGTGAATGACGCAAAAAATATAAAAATATATTAAATTACACACCAAATATTTCCTACGTTATGACTGTTATTAACATTAAAATTTTTCAATTAAAAATTATACATAAAATAAAATACTAGGAAAAAACTGCCTATTTTGTGAAGTGCAGACTTAATTATTAATCAATTGTATAGTTGTTTGCCTATTTACTATTCTGTTTTCGTTCAGTAAATAAGTTCAAATTGTGCGCATCATTCGTACGCAATAACTGTAAAAAAAGCGTTACAACTTGATTAGAATCTCAAAATTTTTTCAGTAGTTACTTCTGAAGAGTATATCTTTATCAAAGAAAAAATTGGTTCGATCTTGTATGTAGTAAGTAAACCGAATTTTTGTTTCAATTCAATATTTTTAATTGAAATGATAAACTTACTAGAATTCAGAATGATTTTGGATAAACTTGGAGCTTAAAACGAACCTATGATAGATTATATAAACTTATGAAATACTTGAAACAAGTAACAATTACTTGAATGCAGTATGTGTTTTTCAACGTGTAATTTAAAAATCACTGCTTTGTTTATTGACCATAAAAGTAATGCTTTTTGTACTTGTTTTCGATATTCATTAGTAAATTATCAAATCTTCATAATCTCTTTACATCTCTATAATCAATTTCTATTATTCGATCTATTTGGGAGAGAACCAACAATATCAAAGAATGCATAGCTGTATAATAATGACATTAACACTAATTTAGTGTTAACGCTAATTTAAGTCAACATATTAGTTAACTAATTTAAATCATAAGTAACGAATTAGTCATTGAATGTCTCACAATGAGTCAGATTTTGATCGTTAATCGAGCTTGCTTATCGTACTTATGCGTCGTATGTGAATATACAAGGCGACATGCGATCCAGTAATGGTGCGCGCCTTCGAAAAACCGGCTGTTGGTTAATTAAGCACCACTCGAGCACGGTATCGATGAAATATCGTTGTTATGCAGATGCCGATAAACTCCCGTCGCTCATTTATTTTCGCCTCCTCCCGCAGTCAATTACAGCTCTCTCTCTCACAATATACAACCAGGATACATCCTGGAGCACCTGAACTCTCGGCACATTCACATCGATTCTTAAGTGCGCCAAGTATATCGAAATCTCCATTACAAGTTTAACCGGCCGCCCACTCTAAACTTTTCATCCAAGTAGCTTGATATTTTGGCTCCAAAACGAAACATGATTACGAAATACTCGTATTTTATTATTATGAGATACATGCGCAGTCGAATCGAAATGCAGTTGAATTGATCAACGCAGCGCACCATAGAATAAATCTTCTTAATTCAATTTTTATCAGCAATGTTATGCAAATTAATATTCGAGTTGTTACAGCAATGATGTACTTATTTTAATGACGAGTATTTGTTTCTACATATTGCGGAATCAAGAGAATTTACTCCAACCATTCGCTATTGATCAATTCTATTGATCCAGCAGCATTTTTTCCCACATGTTATTCGCCAAATAGAATTTGACTTACAGCAACGTGAGCCATCAGTAGACCCATATGGCGTGGACGACAAGTCACGTAAAATAAATCCGGCATGGAACGTGCTGACGACACATTTCTCGACAGATTTTTTTCTCGTGCGATCTTACTTCTAATTGGGTACTAGCTAGATTAGGTAATAGCTTCCGAGTTATGAGCGACGAGAGATACTTAAAAAAGTTTTCACAAGCGGATTTTCTAGAATGCGAATTAATTGATAAAATTCCATTACTCGTTTAAATGTGCGCAAACTCTATATTTAACCGGCACTTTAATTCATCGATGCATATTAAGATCAAGAACATCAGAATGAATACTCAGCGTACAATTAGTACTTTATTGTACCGAGAACTTTTATTATATCCTGTCTTTTTAATTTTCTTCCACAATATTGAACACATACAATCGGAAGAAAACAGCCTGCAAATAAACTAAATTAAGAGAATGTTCTATATTAATTAAAAAAAAAAAAAAAAAGGATTGAATTTCAGTCATTTTTCCGAAAGTTATGAGCAAACAGAGTTTACGTAACTTTCTGATGTTTAGAGTTCTAAGATTAAGAACATTATTTTATTACCTAAGAGATAAAAATGCTCTTCTCTTTCATGTTATATCCCGGCTACTAAGAACTTGCAAAAAAAAACCAAATCGTTCGCGGGAAAATCTGCTATCCAGATTTTCGTTCTAAGTCGTAGTTGTCGCTGTAGCTATGCTAATTTGCATAATATACTGTGATCCGTAGTTTGCTATGTAACTAGATAGCAAGTGCGTTTAACGAGAGAAAAGAGTTTACTTGAAAACAACGAGTCTCTAGTATAAATGAGATCTTCGAAGAATTACTATCCGCAATATCGACCTGAGATATCGTAACATAACGTTTTAGCCGCGCCCGATTGGGGAAACGGGTGGCCCAGGAGACCTTGGCCTTGGCTATTTCCATGAGAAAGGGTGTCACTACCTGCGAGTTTTGCTAGGCACCATCGACGGAGTTAAGATGAGACGAGGTTGCGTGCGTTGTTTTCGCGCAACAAAGAGGCGCGTGTCTCTCTGAGACTAAGCTATTTTAAGTCGAATCCTCGTTGAACTTCGCGAACATCATTTCAAACACATGTAAGACACGTAAGGAGGACTCTGTTGCGAGAACAAAGCATCGAAAAGTTTTGATTTATTTATAATACTTAAGGGAACAGCGATTGTTGCACAACAGCGTAACTTCATAGCAGTGTAATCATCCTTTTTTTATTTTTAAAAATTTCTAAAAATTTAAACGTAATCCTTTTAGTTTTTAAATTGATTTTATTGACTCAAATTTTTTTCAATTTAATATTCATTTTCATTTCAATTTTTCTAAAATTGATTTTCATTCCCTAAGAATGAAAGTCAGTTCCCAGTTAGATACTGTTGTGCATTGAATAGCCCACTCACCAGTTTTTAATTAAACAAACTTACACGGTAAAAATGTTGTTGAATCAATAGAATTTATTAATAATACGCACGCCGCGATTGAAATAAATCTTCTTGATTTAATGGCAATGTTAATTGAAAATAATACTTGAGTTATTAAAAACAAACACATCATATATTACCTTAATAACTCTAGTGTCAGTTTCAATAACATTGCTATTTAATCAAGATTTCGATACATCAATTCAGATATGTTAAGTGACTTTTTTAAAAACAAACCAAACCTAGTCTACGTTCCTTCTCGAGTTAAAATTTTAGCTTTATTTTTTACTTGAACTTTCTATCATCTGTATATTTTGAAAGATTAGTGTATGTTTAATACACATAGAAATTAAAGTCCTATTTAGCGCTTCTAAATGGCAGAAAATGCACAAAATATCACTCGTATGTTTTAAAGAATTAATACGTGGAGAAAATATTGTAGCGCGTTTTTACGTTTTTCCAAACAATATTTCTTTTTTAATGTATTTTCTTGTAAGGATGAATAATACTAAAATTGTAATTTGTGAAAAAAATAATAATAAATAGTTTAAATTTAACGATTTACCTGGTATACAGTATAAAAAAATATTCAAGTAATTACAATAATTTTGTAGTAAAATATCAAATATATAAAATATTTTAAACAAATATATAGTTTAATAAATATGTATTTATGTGTAATTTCGATCATAATTCTGTGTGGTCCAAGATTACAAAAATTTTGTTACGATTTTTATTACAATATTCTCTCTGTGTAGGTTGAATCAATATTGACTCAACAGCATTTTTTCTATATACGCATGATTTAATAGCATTTTCTTTTCCGTGTAACGTATGTAAGAGATTGTGTATCTTTTTTGGAGTTCCTATGCAGCGTTAGAAAATCTTCCGATACAATACGGATTTGTTGTAGCGTGTTTCAACGTAGCATCCACTAAAAGATAGTGATGCTGGAACAACTTTCTACCAGTCGAGATATCGACAAGTTGTTTACGAACTTCAATGTGGTATGAGGGAAGAAGGGAGGATACAGTTCATGATCGCTATGCGAGTAACATACGAGGTACATAAAACGTTGGCGAATGTTGATCCTCCACGTCTGCGGAATGAAGCGCGAGGTTTCCTCTTGTTTGCTACACTTTCTACGTCGGTTTCTTTTCGTTTCTTATTTTTCTTCGAAAGATGCGAATGCACGCCTGAATGAATGGACACCTCTTTGTGTCGCTGTTTTCGAATTATTCGAGTCGTTCATGCACTCGAGCTGAGAGAAAAAGGTCGTACAAACAAACATC